AACGCTGCCTTAGGAGAAATTGGAACGAGGACATTAGAGAGCTTTTACAGCGACAAGGAATTACAAAAGCCATTGCTGTCCATCAGGCAATGGATCACAAACTGTTCCTTCCCACGACGCTAAAAGATAGAAGTGGAATTAGATGGCTGCTACTGATAGTATACAAGCAACAGGGTTATTTTTACAACAGGGTTATTGTTACAACAGGGTTATTGTTACAACAGGGTTATTGTTACATCAGGGTTATTGTTACATCAGGGTTATTGTTACATCAGGGTTATTGTTACAACAGGGTTATTGTTACATCAGGGTTATTGTTACATCAGGGTTATTGTTACATCAGGGTTATTGTTACAACAGGGTTATTGTTACATCAGGGTTATTGTTACATCAGGGTTATTGTTACATCAGGGTTATTGCTACAACAGGGTTATTGTTGCATCAGGGTTATTGTTACATCAGGGTTATTGTTACATCAGGGTTATTGTTACATCAGGGTTATTGTTACATCAGGGTTATTGTTACATCAGGGTTATTGTTACAACAGGGTTATTGTTACAACAGGGTTATTGCTACATCAGGGTTATTGTTACATCAGGGTTATTGTTACAACAGGGTTATTGCTACATCAGGGTTATTGCTACATCAGGGTTATTGTTACATCAGGGTTATTGTTACATCAGGGTTATTGTTACAACAGGGTTATTGCTACAACAGGGTTATTGTTACATCAGGGTTATTGCTACAACAGGGTTATTGTTAAAACAGGGTTATTGCTACAACAGGGTTATTGTTACATCAGGGTTATTGCTACATCAGGGTTATTGTTACATCAGGGTTATTGTTACATCAGGGTTATTGCTACAACAGGGTTATTGCTACAACAGGGTTATTGTTACAACAGGGTTATTGTTACAACAGGGTTATTGTTACAACATGGTTATTGTTACATCAGGGTTATTGTTACATCAGGGTTATTGTTACATCAGGGTTATTGCTACAACAGGGTTATTGTTACAACATGGTTATTGCTACAACAGGGTTATTGTTACAACATGGTTATTGTTACAACAGGGTTATTGTTACAACATGGTTATTGTTACAACAGGGTTATTGTTACAACATGGTTATTGTTACATCAGGGTTATTGTTACATCAGGGTTATTGTTACATCAGGGTTATTGCTACAACAGGGTTATTGTTACAACATGGTTATTGTTACAACAGCGTTCTTGCTGCAACAGGGTTATTGCTACAACAGGGTTATTGTTACAACAGGGTTATTGTTACATCAGGGTTATTGTTACAACAGGGTTATTGTTACAACAGGGTTATTGTTACATCAGGGTTATTGTTACATCAGGGTTATTGTTACATCAGGGTTCTTGCTGCAACAGGGTTATTGCTACAACAGGGTTATTGTTACAACAGGGTTATTGTTACAACAGGGTTATTGTTACAACAGGGTTATTGTTACAACAGGGTTATTGTTACAACATGGTTATTGTTACATCAGGATTATTGTTACATCAGGGTTATTGTTACATCAGGGTTATTGTTACATCAAGGTTATTGCTACAACAGGGTTATTGTTACAACATGGTTATTGTTACATCAGGGTTATTGCTACAACAGGGTTATTGTTACAACAGGGTTATTGTTACAACATGGTTATTGTTACATCAGGGTTATTGCTACAACAGGGTTATTGTTACAACAGGGTTATTGTTACATCAGGGTTATTGTTACATCAGGGTTATTTTTACAACAGGGTTATTGCTACAACAGGGTTATTGCTACAACAGGGTTATTGTTACATCAGGGTTATTGCTACAACAAGGTAATTGTTACGTCAGGGTTATTGTTACAACAGGGTTATTGTTACATCAGGGTTATTGTTACAACAAGGTAATTGTTACATCAGGGTTATTGTTACAACAAGGTAATTGTTACATCAGGGTTATTGCTACAACAGGGTTATTGTTACATCAGGGTTATTGTTACAACAGGGTTATTGTTACATCAGGGTTATTGTTACATCAGGGTTATTGTTACAACAGGGTTATTGTTACATCAGGGTTATTGCTACAACAAGGTAATTGTTACATCAGGGTTATTGCTACAACAAGGTAATTGTTACATCAGGGTTATTGTTACAACAGGGTTATTGTTACATCAGGGTTATTGCTACAACAGGGTTATTGTTACCCTCGACACTGAAGACACAGTTGGATGAGACTCTCGCGAGTGGTAAGTGTCCTTGCCACGGTGGTTCACGCGACACTTATGTCCTTATGAATAATAAAACCATACTGTGAATAGAGAGCTGTCATAGTGTAGCGGCTTGACGCTCGTCTGCGTATCCGTCATGGATTCAAATCAGAACGGAGTCGGACTTTTTGTTGTTGCAAGAATAACATTTGCTCCCATTCCATCCCCCCCCCCCCCCCCCCCAAAAAAAAAAAACTCGACCGGTCGACTTGAATGGGTACCAGGTTGTTCTTGGAGGTGGGGCAGCGGCGTGATTTTGACCACATCACCGCCAAATGCCAATTGGTCTATAAAATATAGTTCTAGCACAATATGCCCAATACGAGTGAAGAAGGGTCCTTGTATCATGGATAATATACAGGTCACACTCGCATTGTGAAGGATATCCTTACCGTCCTGTTCGTAGTGCATGAGTAAATAACACCTCCCTGTGCCCAGCAAGAGACTGACTTAGTTATTGCCTCCATGCCTACGTGAAGCTTCAACATCCCAGCGACCCGATGAGCCCCAGATAAGATGCTAATTCAACAGGACACATCCCAGATACCGCGTTCAACCTAAAAAAAAAGGTTATATAGGGCACCTGTACTACTCTCATCGGCGACCGGGTCACCCATTGGCTAGCCGATAGACGGCTTCGTCGTCAATCGGGGCAGTATTTGTGTCTGTTTTGATCGCATCAACACTGTAAGAATCCTTTTCGGGACGTTTGGTCGCGGGCAATGCTAAGCCTTTTTTTTTGGTTTGTTATGTCACACATAAACCTATCACAAATAATTAAAAGCTTCCTCTTTCGGGGTATGCTGGTTAAATGAAACGATTTCTTTTAAGCATACAACTTTAAAAAAAAAAAGTTTATTTGTCTGTAAAAGGTATATATACAATAAATGCTTGTCAACTGTATTGTACGTGTTATGTTGACAGGCGTCTGCGATGTGCGAATATTTGTGCAGTAATATTTACAGAGCGTAGAACGGTTACTACTATGTTCCTTTCTAGTGCGCTCGCTTTCGGACAGGGTGCGAAAGTCGTGTCTCATAAGAACCTGCTTTACCACCGTAGTATTCCCGCAGACATCAGTAGATGCACACATCAACAGCAATACAACTCGTCAGCCAGCTGTACTAGGCTGGTAGTGACCGTGCCATGGTTACCAATATCATCACCAGGACCCGCTAATACAACACATCCCAATCAGACACGCCTGTGTAGCTGTCAGTGTTTACGATAATTACCCCGTATTAAGGTTAACATTTTTTCGTAGTCTAGACAAAGGGGACTAATCTGTGGCAAACTGCACGACCAAGGTCATTATATTGATTGATTTATTGATTCCATTCAAGGCCAGTCTCATAGCCTCAGAATAATGGACTTTGTGGAAGAGATATTTTGGAAAAATTTTAAAGCCGAATATGTGTATTATGCCTAGAATCTGGTCTCATCATCATCATCATTTGCCCTACCAACTGGCGTAGGCGCTCATGCGTCTCCACAGATCACGATCCCTGGAACAGCCTTCTTGATATCCCTCCATGCCATCGTTTCAGCCTATCCAGCATCATCTCTCTTGGTCTGCCTCCACCTCTCTTTCCACTGATCTTTTCAGTTGTCAAGATGTTCTCCAATGTCTCTCTTCTCATTATGTGGCCAAAGAGCAGTGTTTGTGTCTTTCTAATTGTTGTATATAGCGATCTAATTTCATTAGCTTCTTTTATTAGCAATCGTTGTTAGTTACTCTGGCCGTCCAGGGTATTCGTATCATTCGTCTCATAACCACATCTCCTTTACTTCAAGATTCGTCCTAATTTGTTAACTGACATTCCAAGATTCGCTGCCCTACAGCAGAACAGGTTCTATGTAACAAGTTAGCACACTCTTTCTGACATTAAATGAGAGCGATTTGTTGCATAAGATATTTTTCATTTTCTGATATGCAGCTTTCGCTTGACCTATTTTGCTTTTTCTATATGTCACACATTTTCCATCTGATAATTGCATTGTTCCCAGATATTTGACTTTATTGACTGGCAGTAGTAGTAGTAGTAGTAGTAGTAGTAGTAGTAGTAGTAGTAGTAGTAGTAGTAGTAGTAGTAGTAGTAGTAGTAGTAGTAGTAGTAGTAGTAGTAGATGATGATGAAGAAGATAAGGATGACTATGAAGAATAAGAGTAATCATTTAAAAAAAAAAAGTAGGCTGCACAAAAATAAAAAGAAACCATATTTGCCCTACCAACGCCCCCACCCTACCACACACACTTTCCTCCCGTCCCTTCCTGGCCTAAAATCAAGAAAGCGCAGGCAACCGTTGATAGATTTCAGATATCAGTAATTGTTCAATTACGTCTCTTGAAGTCTCTGCCCTCACCCTCCCCTGCTCGACATCAATAAATGTTCTCCCGTCTAAATATAGACTCTAATGACTGAACAAAGGGTATTCCCCGGCTGGTTCACTCTGTGGAGGGGGGAGACGATTTCATTACCACCCAAAGTAGGCGTCCTAATTATAAAAATATATAACACATTACCAAGAACTAGATCTTAAAGATGTATTTTGTTGCTTTTTTAAATTTTCGCACAACAATTTTGTGGAAAAAAATTAAGAAATTAGCCAGAAACCAAAAACACTACCCCTATTCGCGGTGAACCCGTCGGTTGTTGTGTGTAACGTCGGCGTGTGCTTTCATCCAAAGTAGGCAGCAGACGTGAGAATTCACTGCCCAGACCAACAACATGCCCAAGGTAGACTGTCTTCCTGTAAATCCTTGCTGTGTTTGTTTTCTTTCTATCTCCTATTGAAAGTGTAAACTCGCAGACTATGCTTTGATGTTTGTAAGGAGGAAGAAATATTTGCCAAATGGAGACGTTGATAGCACCGAGTTCTGCTATCTGGTTGACGTGTCGCCTGTTTGGTCGTGAGCTGGAATTATAAAGTGTTTAGTGTTGGCATTTTAAAATTTTCAACAGTATCATGCATGAGTATGTCTTAATAATTAATTAACACGTCTTTTTATTTGTGAATAACTGTGGCTTATATTACAATTACTAGTTTTAAAAGAGCAGTTTGATTCACAAAAGTGCAACATGACGTCTTAATTAGATTTAAAATAATATTATATTAATAATATTAATATAGTGAATAACTTGAACTTGTGATCTTTGCCACCGTCACGCGTCAAATGCATGAAAGAACTGTGTAGTCAGTATTTCTTGTATTTCTGTTAACGCGACATCCTCGTTAGAGTGAGCGCCAACATTATCGCAATCTTATTTTACCTACACATTTCATATGTACTCACCATTCCCATATAGGCTACTACCTACACCTAATTTTTCATACCTTTTGAAATGAATATTATTTTAGAGGAGCGGCTGAGCTGTTAAGAACGCCGGCCTCTCATGCGGGAACCTAGGTTCGAATCTTTCGTGAAGTCGCGTATTTTTTTACTTTTAGGAGCAAAAATAGAATACTAACCTGCACAGTCCGTGGCGACAGCACTAGCCATGCAGCCCTAAATCCTCATACCCTATTAAATACAGGTGGTAATTAGCAGTATTTATACCTGGTGTTTTGTTTTCTTGTGCTCATTTGTTAAAAACTATATTTCACCTTTAATGATTATGAGCATTATTTGCCATCTTTGACTGCCGTTTGTCTAAAGCAGTTTGCTAGCCTGATTTATTAATGCGATGGTACGGTAGTTGCTGCATAGTTTCAGATTTCCTTTCTTTGGGAGAGGAATATAGATTGTTTTGTTATTTGCTTTAAGCCAAATAGCGCTGGATGGTATCCTCTATTTTTCCCAACAGTATTCTTTTCACCCTTCTATGTCTTTGGTTTCTGTCAATATGTTGCCGTTTCTATCATTTATTTCATCAAATGATGTCCTGAATTTGCCTTTTAATGTTTTAATTTCTTTAAACCTGTCTCTGTCCTTTCCTCACATCTGGAATTATATACTACTACAAGTATTCATTATAAACTATTTCTTATCTTCTCTGATAGCTCTTCTGTTTTCTCTCATGTAGTTATATAGTTCCTTTATGCATGGCTTGTCCCAGATGTCTCTTTAAAACTAGATGCTGAAAAGCTGCACAGTGACTAGAGAAAAGAAGAATAAGAAGGTATTTTTAAAACTGGAAAGTCACCTGATTGATAAATCATCAACAAGAAAAGCACACTTGTTTGCAGCTTTATTTGATGAGCATAGAATTAGGCAGTAATTATCTTCTTCCTTTTCAGGCCAGTACCATGTGGTATTGGTAATCATGCCTGTCTACAGCCTTCTATTTTGTGTACTGTCAGTCATTTCTGATAAATGTTCCTTAATGACAACATGTCTAAGTGTCCATCATCTTCTGCTTCTTTCCTGTTATTTTCTTATTGTCACTACTAGATGCTTGCTTGCTGGCTCCAAGGTCCAGGGTTTGGAATCTGCATTGTGATGGGTTGTTTGCAGGTCCCATGTCCGCCCAGCTTAAAATAAATACCAGGTAATATCCTGAGAGGTAAAGGCAGCTGACATGATGTTGATCACATGACCCACTCAGTGTCGCTTGGTCTATATTAATATGAGCCAAGCATCATAGAACCTGTGCACAACTAAAGTAAAAAAGGGTCTGTTTTTTTTCCCACTTACTTTACCTGATGTCATTCATCATCTCTCACAGTGAGTCCTACAAACGTAGATTTTCTTATTTCTCATCACTGTCGTCTTGGCTGTCATGTGCCTTTTGAGTATAAACAACAGTGGGGTGCCTGTTTGTGTGTTTTATATATGGCAACTCTCAAGAGCTTTTAATTTCTTCAAGTTCTTGACAGTTCATTGTACTGTTTGGTGTCCAAGTTATTTAATTCACAATGGGAAAACATTGTTTTGAATTCAGTTATTCTCTGCACAGTTTTCCTTATTACTTCTTCTATATTGTCTCTTAAAAGCAGTTAGTAGGTTGTGTTGTGGTTTATGGCTAGACTGTGATATCAATCTTTTTTAGCTCAGCACATCTGATTTTGGCAAAACCTTAATTAGTTATCTTTCCCAACATGTTTGTTAAGGTATGTCTATTCTGTTTTTCCCTGCTTACTGGGCATGGGAATCCATGCTGAGATATTCCTTACAGTCAGAATGTAGACATATAAAAAACAATATCAGACCGTGTGTCTTAGTCACATGGCTTGTTTCCAAAAGTAGCATTTCTGTGGTAATAGCAGTAGGTAACAGATGTTGCCTCTGAACCCTGGTCAGATGACCTGATGTGATATACAGTAGTACATAGCATAGATTACAATTGGAGATTAGTGACTTTTATAGTCCCCCACCAGCAGTTCAGGTGGGTGAGAGATAACTTTGTGTTTTTTAGTGAAGCATTTAAATTTTTGGGTAGGTCATCTCTTTCTTTCCCAGAATTTAAGGAATTTTTGAATAAATAACAATATACTGGGAGAAATCATGGCACAGAGGCTTGAAACTTGCTTGCTGGCCCAAAAGCCTTCAGTTCAAATTTGAATCAAGTTGGGTTTTTATAATTGACCTAGATGCACACAAATCACCTCTGCATAAAAATGGGTACCAGAAAATGTGCTGGGCAGTAAAAGTGAGAAACATGATCTCAACCAGATTGCCACTTGTTTGCTGTTTGGTTTAGAGAAATATGTCTGGTACCATATGCTTTGTTTGCAATGGCTGTGTCTTCTTCTTAGTGTTCACCAGCTGTAAACTCCCCTGGAGTTTTTTTTTTTTTTGGTTCATTCACTTCTGGATGTTAGTCTTGTTCCTCAACTGAGTTTTGTGTGCACCCCATTTTACAGATCTGACTTACTTGTAGGCAGACTATTGGTTTCTTACCTATCAGGCAGATGCACTCTGACTTTAAAGGAAACACTCCTAATTCCTATCCTCTTACATAACATTTCTTAAGGGACAGTGGGGATCTATTCCCCCTTCTCCCAAAATGGGGCTCCATATCCCACACAGGGAGGGATCCACTGGTGTGGACAAGGTCCGTTCCTGTTTAAAAATTAATATTGTACTGCTGTTGTTTGCTGTATATTAATGACTGATTATTAAACAACACAAGACAGCTTCATGTTTCATTAATTTATATTTAAATTGGGACAGATTGACTTCTGTTAAATGCTAACTGTGTAGTAAGTAAAAATGAAGGACCTATTTACACAGCTTTTTGCTGTATTGGGTATTTGAAGCTAGTCCTAAATTCTTAAAGACCACTTAATTCATGTTGATAGGTGACTGCCTAGGTCATTTAAAAAAAATGTGGCTCAGTAGAAATTCTTCATGTTGTTCTTCATGAATGAATGAATCTAGAATTGACATTGCTGTACTAAAGGGAATTTCCACATGGGCTCTGTCCCCTTCTTTAGTAACCTACAAAGAGTTGACATGCTAATAGGACCAGTGGCAGCCTGATTAAAAGTCTGCCTTTGGTTCCCCCTCATCGTGGAATATCTTCCAGAACCTCTACTCACCTATCCCTCTCTTCCTCCCCCATTGCACTGCCCATTAAGAATTATCACCAGAGCAGTGGAGTGTGTGCACCGAGCTTGATACCTTCTTCATTGGCCAGCAAAGATAAACAGTTCTTCTGTATTTGCCAGTAAAAGGGCACATTGGGTTATGGTTTATGGCTAGTTTGTGTTATCTACACTTTTCAGCCTAACACATACAATTTCAGAGAACCCTTAATTAGTCATCTTGTAGTACATGCTTGTTAAGAGGCAGCGGTCTGTTCTTCCCCTAGAACCAACATTAAGAAATAAGGATTTGAACCTATGCCCACCAAGCTGGCAAGTAGGCGGGTAATAGCCGCAGTGCTACCACAACGCCCACTGTTCAGTATGTCAACATTAATTCACAGCAAGCAGTAGTGAGCGGACTGTCACCTGTTGTTGATGATGTGAGTGCAACCGCTGTGTCTGCCCATAAGCTCTGAGCACTCAGAATGGCTTGACACTATATAATATTAATAGGTTTATTGATTGTTTAGCTGGTAGTGTAATTGTAACTTAGGTTTGACTTCAGACTGTGAAATTTATTTTATTTTGCAAGCTTTATTTCACTGAGGGATTGTTGGATTCACATCAACATTTTGTTATGGAGTCAAACTTCCAGTTGATCAGAAGGGTGTGTTGTGTATGTTTACCTATTTTAATGTGTTGATGGTATGTAAAATTTGGTTATGTTGGAAACATTGATAGCTTTGTTTACCATTTTGGTACCAGAGAGGACCAGTGCTGCCCTCCCCCCCCCCCCCCCCCCCCCCCCCCCATGTTTTAACACATGCATTCATTCTTGTGGACAGTTCTCAGCAGCAATATTAGTATCAGAAAAGTTACTGAAAAAATAATCGTGAGGCGATTGAAATATTTTAGCCACATTAAAAGACAAATCCTCTTATAAATACCATACTGGTGGGAAAGTTGAAAGCAAGCAAGCTAGAGGTAGACAGGTGCAAGTGGGAGAACAACCTTAAAAGATAAAGAGAGTCTAAGATATTGCATAACCAGGATGGGAAACAGATTGTATGAGATGCATTGCAACCTACTGACATTGTGGAGGCGGCAACTGATACTTCACATTCACCTGTTGTAAACTCCGGTGGAAAGTTCTGGTTGTTTGTCCATTTCTGAACTTTGGTCTTATTCCAGAACTTGAGTTTTGTGGGCACATCCAGTTTATAGATCTGGCTTATTTGTTGATGGTTCTTAGCTCTCAGGCAGATAA